TGACCCTCTTTTCTTATTCTTTATTTGTGTTTGTTAATTGTTGTTATCTTGTAGATTGATTGGTTATATGTTGGGAATAGCTCAACTCTATTTTCTTTTATTCTTATTTGATTTTTGACACATAAAATTTGACACATAATTACTTAGACAGTTATAACTTATCAGACTGGAACCTACCTTTCAAGATCATGAAGATCCTCCTGTATGATCTTACTTACTGGATGTCTTATACTATTAACTTTAAATTTGAATTCAATTGTATAACGTTTCTCTAATAATCTTTTCAGCACATCACCTCCGATCAGGAAATCCTCCTTATGGATTCCAGCTTCCAAGTATACACTTTTCAGCATGGATATGTGAGGCTCCAAATGGTCTAGCATTTAAAATAACAATTACCATATGTGTACTCACTAAAACCTGACCTTCGAAGTGTATATAATACAACTTCTGTATGTTTGCGTTGTACTCTTCAGTAATAACTGTTTTCTAACGACTTTGGGTATTGTAATTGCACCAACCAGTTACAGCCATCCCAACCTTCAGATCTGCACTTAATCAATGGCTTTGTATAAATTGACATATAAATCAATTGGTTTTTAATCAACATCACTTGTCAATGATTGCGCAGAGAAATGGTGAAGTATCCAAATTTCAACAACCCCTAAGATCATACGGCTTAATATCAATGATCTGATGAATTTGAATATGATTGCTTAGGTGTTGACATCTAAGACTTGTGCCTTGAGCAGTTCAACAATCTCATGGAGATATAATTGATAAAAACAAAAAAAGGGCTTGATCACTTGAGGTTTGTAGCAACAAGATTTTTGCGTAGAGCACAGTAATTGTATCCCAACCTTCAACAAAACATGAACTTCATACGGCTTAACCTTATAACTAATGATAGTATAATAAGGGTTGCTTAGAGTCTTGTCAACAATAAGGCTTTTGCGCTTTGATGCGTCCTGAAGTATCCCTGCCTTCAACTCCAGTATTGTCACCAGCGGCTTAAATCAAACTTTCACCTGTAGATCATGGATCTTTAGGGCTTCTATCTGACCAACTGTGAACTCAAGTGTAGAAACTTGTAAGCAGTCTCAACACTATTCTCTAACAGCATACTATACCATGGGTTGTGTATGATTAGTACAATAATGGGGTTTTTTGATAGTAGTAACAATGAACGGATCTTAGAGAACTTGGTCTATCTAGTTCAATGTAGCTAGTGAAATGGAAAAGTTTCTAGGAAGCTTTGAACATGATATTGGTATGAAAAATTGATATGATCTAATTGATATGAATGTTATATTGTACTAATTTGTTGTAATAGTTGATGTATTATAATTTGATATAAATATATGAGCTCTTGATTGAAAATCTGCTTTTGAAGTTCATTAGTATAATCTTTCATATAGTATACATACGTTCAGCTATAATTCTTATTTTTGTTTGTAGTAATATAATGAATAGCCGTTGTTAAGGTAATGGTGAGCTGTAATATATTTCTACTAGATAATATGATAATTAGTAATAAAATTGTAGTTAAAATATACTTACATGACCATTTATTCTGCTTGATAATTTACAACCTTTGCATAGTTAATTAAGATCTTTTGATTAGGATCTTTTGTACCAAAATTGAACCTTACCTTACTCTCATCAGGAAATTGGCCAAGAGCAAAAGGTTTTAATGTCTTCATAACCTTTGGACTCACAGCCTTAGTGAGTATATCAGCAGCATTTAAGGAACCATCAATTTTTTTGAAGTAAATCTTTTCTTTAGATTCATTTTCAAGGGTATGTACCAATAATTGATATCTTGGATTGGATCTATGAACTATTTCACGCATTGACTCTATGTGTTCATCAACATGATTCATTTCTTTTGTTGTTTGTTCATTTTGTAGATACTTTAAAGCAGATTGTGAATCTGAGTATATGGTTATCATAGTATCTAAACCAAAGGTGTTCTTTAAGATTTTTCTAAACATTAGAGTTTGTTGGAGTCCATTAAAAATAGACATCAGTTCAGATTCACATGTAGACAACGTTGGTTTTGTTGTTTTTATAGCATTAAAGTCAATAACACCCACTCGATTGTAGTAAATAACAAAACCAGTTAAAGATCTTGATTTCTGTAAATTATGATGACTGGCATCACATAAAACTTCTAAATGAACCAACTTATTATTTTTTGGACCTTTCGATACTTGATATTCACCAGCAACTTCATCTTTAGCAAAAACAATAGCTTCATTCTTGGTGATTGAAATGTATGTAAGCATCTTATGAACCATAAAAAAGAGTTCATTAGCAGGCACAGATGTAATAAAACTAGCAACTAAAGCAGCTGGTGCTCTTAAATCAGGTTTAAATTGACTCAGATAATTAATTTTACCCAATAGTTTCTGGAGTTCATTGATTCTTTTCTCTTTAACTTCTTCATTCATACTTTGAACTTCATTTATTGATTCAGCTGAGGGTTCCCTCCAGTCCTGATTGATGGGAGTTTTTCCTGGTATTTTCTGATGGTTAAATTTGGAGATAAAGGAACCTGTTTTTGGGTCTAATAATGGATCAATATTATTTGTAATGTATTCAGTTTTTGACAAATAAATTGATTTTACCGTATAGTCATTATTTAATATTTTCTTCATATTAGAGCCTAATAGTAGCAAATTTATATCTTTATATGTGGATGTAATCTTGGAATCAAATAAACCAGCTAACGATTGAACCACCACTTTTGTTTGTTGAGGAATGGATAAAACAATTAAATCGTCCACAAACAAACCCACAACTGAAGAAATATTTCCTTTATTATCACGTTTAATAAAAATGGTTTGAGCATTTGAAAAAGCTTGATAATTCAACTCATTGACCAATTTAGCAGCTAAAGTTAAGAACCATTGTTTAGGACTAATTTTTAATCCGTAAAGCGCTCTATGAATGAGAGCATATCTTTTGACGTTATGTTGATCTTGAAACTCCAATATCTTCTTGTCAGAATTTTGTAACGGTGCATTTAAAAATGCCTTGCTATAATCAAGCGTACTGAGATGTAAACCACCATGATCAACAGCTATAGCAAGCAAGAGCCTAAGGTTACTGATGCTTAAAGTAGGAGAGAACATCTTGTCCTGTTCAACTTTTTCAAGTTGCTCCATGTAACCTTTGCAGACAAGTCTGCTTTTGAGGGACCCATTTAACTTTTTACTAATAAGCCATCTACTTTTCAGTATTATTTTGCATTTTAATTCTTGAACTAACTTCAGAGCTTCTTCTTTATTCTTCAGCAACGTCATGACGGTAGTGGTTGTAAGTCCATTGATCTCATCTAATATGGTTTTTCTCCATCTCTCATCTTCTATAGCATCGGAAAATTTAATGTTTTGCATTCCAACTTTAATATCTTTATTTGGATCAGGTTCAAGTTTTGTATCATCTGATTCATCTTGAGCATCTTCACTTCTCATTTTAGCTTCAAAAGCAGCATTGAAATTTTCATTTCTTATATGGAAAATTTGATTAAGCCTAGTGGAATTTCGAGGTCTCAATCTATCTCTGATACTTGAATTTGGAGTAATGTCAATCTGTGTTTCAGCATTATTGTAATGTTCTAGTAGATTCTTTGGAATAGCAACTCTGGAATCTTGATCCATTCTCAATTGTGGTTCAGTAAAATTGGTCTCACTTGTATGATCTTCATTTTCTGTTCCAGTACGACTTTCTAATTCTTCATCTATGTCTTCTTGTGCACTATGATACTGATCTTCATCATCTTCTATATCTAAATTTGGAAGATCTGAATGTTGTTCAGATGTTTGGTTACTAGCTTCAGGTGATGTAGTGTTTTCTTCAGCTATTGTAGATGAACTTGAAATAATAATTGGTTCAGTTTGTTGAATACTTTGATAAGTCGATTCTTGGTCATCTGTTGTAACTGGTAATTGCATTTCTGTTAACATTTGTGATGAATTTTCAGTAATTTCTGTTGACATAAACGGATTATTTAAAAATTCATTAAATAAGTTTTGAATTTGTTCTTCATCAGGATTTATGATTGGAAAAGTATGTTTGTGAGGTCTTTTTCTATTCATCTCATCCAATACATTGTTCAACTCTTGTTTAGCAGCAACTTGATTTTTTAGAATTCTGTAATTGGTTGTGTCTATAACTTCACCACTATGGATAAGGAGCACTTTATAGCCCATACCACCTGTTTCATCTTCATTGTTCAATCCTAAACATATGCCTAAAACACCTCGACATTCTATTTTTGATAATGGTTTAATTGATGGATTTGTAACTAATATATCTCCAAACTTTATTAACTTGCTAATCAGAACCGGCTTCTTCAACTTCACTATATTTCGTAAGACAACTGCATATTTGATTGCGTATTTGAACAGATTGAGTTTTTTGATTTCAACTGGCAATGAATGGAATAAGACACGGGAATTTTGTAGTAGAATTTGATTCTCTACTTCAATAGCGGCATTATTTGAAGAAATATAAGGTGTTGTCATCCGTTGTCTAATACCATACCGACTATCTAATTTAAGATGCTTTAATTCAGCAGCATTATCATGTTGAATGATCAGGAGTTTTTCATTATTCTTCCTTTCTTGTATCTTTATGAATTTATCTAAAAAGCTTGATGTTTCTGATCTGCTATTTTGGAGATCAACAGTCACTTCACCACTTATAGGATCTTTTAAAACTAAAATGCATTTAAATTTGAGACTATTAACGAGTTCTTTTGGTGGAATAGTATGGTCAAGATGTATAACTTGGCCTGCTTTGTATTGAGACAAGTATTTCTTGGTACTATTTTTCTTAGCTGCTTTATTTTTGTATCTGTGTCGGATACAAAAAATACATTCTTCAATTGAATTCCCACCGCTTCTAGTAGGTCCTAACGCTTCAGCATCTTCACCATGTACCTCGGAACTCATAACTTGTGTTCGGAAAGCATCCAAATCTTGTATTTGATGATTTTTAATCATTTCTTTGATGATATTAATGGAGAAATGTCCAAATTTTTGATGAATTTCTTCCAACACTCGTGGTTCTAACTTCATATCTGCCAATTTCACCTGGTTCAAATGTGTTCCAACTAAATTTCCACCATAACGTTCATCACCTTTATTTCTTGTTGTTGATTCTGTTGTTGATTCTAATGAGTCACTATCCAGCACTACTAGACCATTCAAAATATGCAAAGGTTTTAATACCACATCATTAATGTCAGTTAACGCTCTGAGCTTCATGTTTAAAAAGACATTGTGATCAGTAAGTTGAGTTACTGATATTAATAGTTTTTGTTGGTTTGTATCAGTTTTGGTTTTTATATTCAATATATTTTTAATGAAGATTGATTTTTGACCTAATTTCAACGTTATATCACCAACACCATGTACAACAACTTCATTTCCATCAGCAACAAATACAGATTCCATAGATTTTTCAACAGCTCTATAATTTTCCAATATACTTTGACAATTGAATGATACTGTATTGTTTGCACCTGAGTCACACAACAATTCAATCTTAGATGATGCAATCGATGGATTAGTGTTAAGATTGTGGACTACTGTGCTACATATCTTGAAGTAATATTTATATGATGGTTTATTTGATGAATGTTGGTTTCTATAATTATTTGAATGGAATTTTCTTTGGTTATCTTGATGTGGCTTGGGGTTGAATATATTTCTTAACCTTCTGCATTGATAAGTGAGGTGTGAATGATGATATGGTAAAGGGCATGGTTGCATTGCATCAGTTGATAATTGACCATCAAAATTATTGTGTTTGCTATTATGAAATTCATCATCTTGACTTCTAAACCTTTTTACATTGTTGTCATTGCCATCACTAAATCTTCTTTTTCTAAAGTTTGAAGACACTTGATTTACCTGAGTTGGACCAGCTGTTTCACCATTACCATCTTGCATTAATTCTGAATTTGTTGCCAAAGAACCATAAGTAGTTGCTGTTCTAATTTCATCTAAAATTTGGTTTTGTAATGTTGAAAGACTTGTTTTTGAATTGGTATTATTCAAACCCTTGGTATTCAAAAAGTTATTATAATGTGAACTTTTATTTAAGTTTTGAAGAAAAATAACCTTCAATTGATCATCTTTAATTACCACAGTGTTATTTGATTTTTCATCAAGTTTTGATGAGACAGCACGGAATTTAGTTAAAAACATGATGAAATGATCCAATGTAACAGCTTGATGTTGTGGTAATGCCATATCTTCCAACATCTTCCAAGAGATGTAACCTGAATTGCTAGCACTATTAAGTTTGATCAAAATGTTTCTTAAATTTTTTCTAGAACTGATGGTGTCTTGTATCAATTGTAAAAAAGGTTGATGTTGTTGGAAAACCCTCTTTCGGACCTCGTTAATGACTAACGTCTCAAATTTGGTTGGTTCTTCATCTTCAGCATCACTATCATCATCATCTGTTGGTAAGGATTTGTGACAACCGTTGAGTAATAAGGTGTGGTATAACTTTTGTGATATAAATTCTTGAACTTCAATTTGTGAATTCCTGTTGATTGATGAGAAATTTCCCAATTGTTTTACCATAACTTCTATGATTTTATTCATGGTATTGCTAGGAGTTTCTGATTCCTTACTTCTATGCATTAAGTAAAGAGCATCTCTTGAGATTTCATTGTTCAAAGTTTCAGCTAATGTTTTGATTTGGCTCCTATTTAATTTGGTTGCATCCAGTAAGTTGGAGGCGCTACCAA